GGCATACCTGAGGCACACTCTGGGAAGGCACAGCAGTCTTTGTCTTAGTGGTACCAGCTATTGTAGCTAACGTATTATATCACTTAAAATAAAACCTTCTCTCTGGGAAATCTGGTGTTAGTCTCCATATTTATGCTGGGCTTTTGAGCCGGGTCGTAACAGCAGTTGAGAGTAAAAGCAGCCACAGCCTTTGCAATGCTGTAAACTGTAAAACCAGAGTACCCAGACATGCAGACATGGGGAGAACATGCATCTAACTGTATCTAGTTATAAAAAGGAAAATTACCTATAGAGACTTACACTGTAAGCCATGCTTATTGCATGAAAATACCCAAATTTTGAGGTCGACAGTTTCAAACGAATGAGGAATCACCGTTTTTGGCACTTTTGTGTCGGTTTTCTTGTGTACATCTAAATAAAAAACTCATGAAAACTCATCTTTTTTCTCTTTTAAAGCAAACGATGCTTCACCTACTTTATTCATTATGTTCTTTGTAGTGCCAGACACGTAGAGAACAGGGTGCACGCCGTAGATCCATAAATTACCTGTCTCCTTCACAAACTTACGCTGTGTTCAAAGAGAACTTTCCTAACAAAGTAGTGTGAAGCAGGGGCCAGCAGACAAGCTCCATTAATGTCGAGGCAGGCCGATGATGACATAGCCACGATGCGACGGCGATAAGGAGGAGCAGGAGAAGAGAAGAGCAGAGAAATAGAGTGATTAGGTGTGGGGAGTATTCATTTAGGAAGACAAACAGCTTCATTTAAAGTTAGCCAAGCACAGAGGCACCCTCTCCCACTACAAATAGGTTGAAATTTGCATTTTTTTTCCTCTGACGGAGGATCCGAGCCCTCGCTCTCTTGGTCTCGCGTCTCAAGTGATAATAGATTATCTAGGGTCTCGCCTGAAGAGCTACTGTCTTTGATTTGCTTTTGAACACATTTTCTGTCTGCTTCTGCTCAAGTAATTCCTCTCCACTCTTGATCTGCTGCTGATATTGTCACAGCAATACTTATCTGTGGTATATAAGGGCTGTTTTCTGTTTCATTCCTTGACTGCATGCAGAAAGGGAACCGAGTGCAGCGTTTGCAGTCATTTCACGATTATTAAACAGAAGAAATGCCACACTCGCTACCGTTACATTTGATTTCTCCATATCTCTTGCAATCACGATCCAGTGATGGTTTTACAGCTGAGAATGAAATTAAAGTTTTGAGCTTAGCGAACACATCGCGATGATTATCTGCTAAACACTCCCAGCAGTTGTAGATGTCATTTGTCCTGCAGACTGCCAGGAAAGAATCTCGTGCAGAAAACGTTTTAGTTGCGGGTCTCCTGTCCTCTTTCACCTGCTGCAACCAGCTGGAATTTTTAGAGATAGAGTCACAAGTAGATGCACTTACAGATCACTTCTACTTTTATTCAGGTACAGTGAGAATATTTAAGCTCTACTGACCCAGTGCATGTGGGTTTGTGGGAATGCAAGCACAGCCTTTTGTGTCTATGCAGATGGGTGGGTGTCTTCATGGTGCACGGGGAGTTGGATTACCGCCATTATCCTAGAAAATCAGCACCTCTACAAGCCTTGAAGGTTTCACTGCACTTCACATTCAATACAGTCATGCATTTGCACGAATTCTAAATATTTAGCACTTGGATACTTGCCTCCTTTGCCCTGCCAGAGGGATTTAGTAGCCTGGGCAACACGGCTCCTCTTTAAGGGTTTTCATGTGAATAAAAAGCCTGGAGATGGGAAATTTTTCATTTGATTTATTTTTAGGTGTACTTGACATTTCTGTTATTCATTTATGGAAATTCTTTTTACTGCCCAGCTTTGGAGCATGTTTTGCAGGCAGAATATTCCAGCATGACGTGCACGTTACTCGTGCATTCATTTCTAAATGCAGATGAAAACTGTTTAAAGTTAGTGTTGTAGTGTTTGGTATAGTTACACATTAAATCTGCTCGTTTAGGAAAGAGGCGCCATTAAAGTGTTGTTATTCAAAATCATCAAATTAAACAATCTTATAGTCACAAGTTGTATATTTTTTTGATACATTTGTCTCTATGATCTAGTAGGAATGAACAAGACTGCACCAAAGATTTTATTTTTAACTAAATTTATACAAGTTACTGAATAAATCATTCAAAAAACAGCATTGAATGGACCTTTTATAACCGCAGGGTTTTCGGCGTGTCTTAGTTTGGGTCTCATAATGTTTCAGTATTTCAAACATTTCATTATAAATAGCATGAACTTCACCGAGCCTCTTCTCTTATTAAAATAGTTTCTGCAAATTCCACAACAAATGAAACAGGATCTGTCTCAAGAATTGCTCACTGAATGAAGCATTCAAGAAAATAATAATGAATGTCATTTTTAGGGAAATTATTATCTTTACATATTCTTTATGAAGTTATTAGAGTTCTGAGGGACGTCTGAAAAGCAGAAAGCTGCCTTGAAGCCTAAATGACTGACGGACACTGAGCATCATCAAAGTCTATCCCAACTCTGGACTTTACATCTTGTAGCTAAACATCAGTCACATGAATGAAACGATGTCCCTCTTTTGTCAGTATGGATGTGGAATAGGCCTTATGTTATGCTCACAGTGCTAGTGGGGATCACGCGGTTGTTAGTGGAGGCACCACTTGCTGAAACACAGTAGTTGCAGGATTGGCTGATAAGCGTCCAGAGCAGCGTTTGGCTGAGAGACTGCTCGACAACATGGTTTAAAACAGGAAGATCTTTAATGGCATCAACCTTGTTAATTCTAAGTGTGCTGTGTTTGAAGTTGGCTAATCCTGCTAAACTTATTCTGTAAATGATATGCTGATGTATGCGCATTATGCAAGAATTCTCTGCACGAGGATAAAATGCAAAAGAGAAGAAACCCCACTATTGCACAAACGGATCAATAGTTCCTTATCAGGAGTTTGAAGTTGTAATAACATTTACACTGCCTCTATAAAATTACCCATTTATTGCATTATCTACTATTCCTTGACTTCTATAGATAACCTATTTAAATCCCATGACTTTAGCTTGTGGAATACACTTAAGAGGATTCTGCAGCATCTGAGAAATTCCACTGGGATCCATGTAGAGTAGGAAAGAATTATGGGAGAAGAGCTATAAGACCCACATGAAAGAAAAGAGACGGGATTTCATCTCAGACCAACGAGGGGCAAAGATTTATTTTCAGATTTATCTAAAAAAGAAGAATAATACCTGTCCTGTGATACATATACATGACAGCGTAGATACTCACTAATGCCATACAACACATCTTACTGAGAGACCAGAAATAAACTCTCCACCACGTAGTCCGAGTTAGCGCAGTTAACGTTGTTTCAGGTCAAGTATTTTGTGAATGCATGTTTGAGGACGCGGCCGCCACCTCATCCACCTAACACATGACCGCGCAGTAATATTTGTCCATATTAAACAAACCAAAAAACTGAATGTCAGTATCTATATCTGTCTGTACAAGTTGATAGTAATTAAGTGTTGCTTCCATATCCACCTGTACAAGCCAGTTCTGGATCATGTATGTAGGGTAAGAGTTATTTATCAGTCCCGACCATGTTGGAGCCTGTAGCTTAAAACACTAAATCAAATGCACCATTAAAACCATACATATACATAATGTTTTGAATGTGATTGGTCATTAGCTCAGTATAAGACACACTTTCTGAGAGAAACAGTTTTCGCTTCAGTGTCATTAAAATGTAAGAACCAAGTGGATATTCACGTTTTACAATATTTAATCTTAAAGCGAGTCAGCTACAAGATGAAAGAATCAGCCAGAAACGATGCTTTTTAATGAAATTACAGTAGCCAACATGATTCTAGCAACATTGTTCCAACTAGTAGCCCTTTTCTCATTGACTTGCCACAGTAGGAAAAGCACAGGCTGAATTAATGATGTCCCAGTTTCATTAGGTGTCCCAGTAAGCTATGACAGTGAACCAGCATGTACCTTCCTAATGAAATGTGGCCGTCATTAATACACCTGTTCGTCCCACGCTGTGACAACTGAAAATGTACACCGGTGGAATAAGACTCCATCGTTTGTGTTTCTCTTTCAAGGATCCAGTTGTTTTTCATATTAATACGAGCAACGTATTAAAAAATGAACTTTCACCTAATCAGCATTTCGCAGCTGTAACATTTCCTGCTCGGTGTGTGCAGCTTTTTTGCAAAGCCACTGTAAAAACCCAGACTGGGTTTCATTCCAGCATCACTTGACATTTATTGTGCATATATCTCGACTTGTTTTTATCCCCTCTCTGCCCTAAATTGTCTGCAAATATATATTTTTTTAGCTGGAAAAGGTGGAAGGGACCCATTTTCCAATTACAGATCTTGTCTTTAGGTGTTAATTGCTGACTGACCTCTGGAGCTGTTATTGGATGCCATGCAGGTTTTTTAATAACCTCTAATCGCAGTGAAACAGAGAGCCATAATAGAGAAGTGCCAAGGTGCTTTTTAACACAGCATCCTTCAATAAGGTGTAATCTCATCCAAACACAGAAGCCAGCTGAATGCCAAGTCAGAATGCTCTTTTGCAAAACACGAGCCGCTGTGATTCATGCTCTTCCGGTACCCAACCGACACTCCGTTTTCTATTGTTTGGGTTAAATTAGGTCAGCTAAGCAGCGTGGATCTTATTAAGAGTAGTGCTGTTTTGGTTCGGGGCGTTTGTTGGGGGGGTTCTTTTGATTTTTTTACATTCCCAGTGAACATGTTTTAACTTGGCAGAATGAAAAAAACACTAAAAGCAGAATTTACTCCAGAGTAAATAATGACTAGCCCGTGTTTTACTGCAGCCACACTGTATTATTGCTCCTTTCACATCTGTCCAGATCATTACATTTCACATTCTCCACATGCTCAGGAGCATCCAGGCCTACAGAAGTGCACTAAATCTTGCAAAGGGAATTAGCTCCCATGTCTTTCCTTTTCTCATACGTGTATGTTTTCATCTGTTTCCAGGCACTCCTCCAGCCACAGGTACCGGCACTTTGATCATTCACCTGGAAGACTACAATGATAACGCGCCGTACGTCTTACCATCGGTAGCGCGAGTGTGCGAGGACACCTACGATGTGACTGTTGCTGTAGTTGGGGGCTGGGACAAGGACCTCCCACCCAATGCTGCACCCTTTAAAATAGAACTGGGAACACAGCCTGACCTGGACAAAACATGGAATGTTACCCGGGTTAACTGTAAGTATTTCATTTTAAGATGAGATTTGTCCGCCTGTATGCAGGACTAACCTGAACTGTGTCAGGCTAGCCTCTTCTCATGCCCAGAGCATCGAGTAGTGCTGTTCTGTCAAAGCCACCAGTCTCTCAGAACTACACGCAGAGTGTCACCAAACAGGTAAAGTTAGGATTTAGTGGGAATTTGCAGTGTGGGACAGGCTATGCAGAAAACCTGCACTGAGAGATACTGACTACAAACTATTATATGTGCAAACCGTTGCTCTACTTCAGGTTAAAGGTGTCACACAGATCATGAATGCAATTTCCCGCCATCCGAAAGAGCAAATACAATAAGAAGTCATTGAAGCTAAATTCAGTTTTCCTATTGAAATAACATTAAAACTGCAGTTTAGTTTAATTTACCTTGATTTAAATTAAAATGATGGCTTGTTAGCCTTCATTCACAGTGTTTAAAATGACAATGATGCTAATTATCTTTGTGTTTCAGTTGGGATTTATACAGTATTTAGCAAAAGTGAGCAAAATTGGATTAGGTTTAACTATTTAGAATAGAATAGCCTTTATTGTCATTGTACAGAGTACAACGAAATTGGAGTGCCACTCCCTTGGTGCAAGTTTCAATAATAAATATAATGTAAAATATAAAAAGTAAAAAAAACAATCGTAAGTACTCAGACAATAGTATGTACAATATATACAGGATAGCAGCATTAATATAATGACAGTATGAGGCATGGAAATATGAGGCAAAAACCAAGTTTGTACAATTCTACCAAGCTTGATGGTCAATGCTTGGTGTGACCGCCGTTATTCTTCAGTATAACAAACTGTTGTAATTTATCGAAGCAGTCTTTGGGAACAGTTCTCTGTGCTTCTAAAAGAACAAGAACCCAGAGCTCTGGATGTTGGATGCCTTTTGTTCTCTGTCAGGATCTGTGGAGGCCAAACCATAACTGATAGAAAAGCACAAAGTGGAGTAGTATCCAGGTATGCTTTTGCTGCTGTGGCAGTATGTTTGGATTTCATGCTGAAATAAACCAGAAACCTTTCAGATGGTATTTGATTGTTGATCAGATGTTTAAATGCAGGACTTATAGATGTAGACAGTAAACGGACTTTTAGGTGCTTACTAACTAGCATTCACACTGGATCAGAGAGCAACATAGGGTTAATATATTACCCAAGCATAGTTGCATGCAGACTAGGAGGAGAACCACCAACCTGCTCTGCCTCCTGAGCTACAGCCGCCTCAGTCGCTGTAGCACCTCTCGTCTGACCTCCGCAAAGATCTGCTGAGGTCTTTTTAAGCAAAAACACTTTCTATGAGATACGTTCGTTCTCTTTTTTCATGCAAAGTTAATCAAAATGCAAATGATCCGCCCAATATGTGGGCCAGGTGGATGAGGGATTAAAAGTACAGTTAAACAAAGAGGTGTACCAGCTCACTACAGATGTACTTGTGATAGTGAAACTGGGCCCACTCTCACATTGTTGCATTCAAAAGGTGGCTGTAAATATACATTTTCAATGTCTGGGGTTGATGTTATGAAGTTATCTAATTATGCTCAGAGTCTTTTCCTAAATCTACCAAGTGATTTTGTGAGTGTAAAAAAACCAAAACATGCAACACACTTACAATAAGAAGTGAAGCACACTCCTGACAAAACATCTCCTTTCTCTTCATTCAGACTTTGATTCTTTCAAATAGGACCGTTGTGCATCCTCACCTGCAGTTACGTCTACCAGTGTCAAAGGAGCAATGCTAAATGACACTTTGTGTTCATATATGCCGAGTTTGCAGTATCTAATAGAAGTGCAGTGTTTGAGGCTTTTGAAAGAGAGCGCACTACTCAGGTACCATAACTGAGTTTACATAACAACAAACTCCTAATGAAATATTAAGAGTAAAATATGACGATAGGGATTAGTATTTATATACCTCTTTCCTGGTCTTACGATGCAAAGTCCTTTGACTTGAAACTATACTCACCTCTTTATGTAGCCCTACATCTACAATTATTACCAATCAAGAGTCATTATTATTCTAATATGCATGTCTTTGGACTGTGGGCGGACAGAGCACTGTAGGAAACCCCACTCACACAGTGGGAGAGTCAACATACTCCACACAGCAAGCCCATAGCCACCTCATGACCTTAACAGACTGACAGTCACTTTTCTCTTTTTTTGCATGCTGGTTTCTCTTTCTCGGGAGGTTTAAAGCACTTTTCACTGAGCCCGGGGAATCTAGAAGTTTAAAGGAAAATCTGAGAGAAGTGTTACAGAAAACTGGTACTCTGGAATCAGCTTCATGTCGAAAATGTTTAAGGGTCAATTCATCCAAGTACAATTTGATACCCTGTCACACAGTGTTGATTTGGACTGTCCAGAATAGTGGAGCAGTCATAACTGGAGAGATTCCTACAGATCACATGATAAGGATGAGGAGAAAAACGATGCGCAGAGGAAAGCGGAGAGGAGGCTAGACAGACAACCAAGGCATTGAATCAGGGTTGCATGACCGACAGTGCTGTCTGTGTTTGTTTGAGTGACAGACCAGAGCTCAAACCTGCCCAGAGGTATTAGCTGTGACTGACAGCGGAAGAGGGGGGTACAGACACTCCTCAATCAGCACCGCTGGAAGAGACAGATAGGGCCAGCAGAGAAAGAACCCATTCCCAGTGAAAGAGACTGGCGCTGTGCTCATCTCAGCTGCGTCCCTCTGTGTGCTTCTGTTTGTGTGCACGCAGCACCAGGAGAGCTCGTGGCTCTGCCCCGACAGTACATCTCAGTGTAAGAACAGCTGGAAGTTTTTATGTGGAGGGGTCGTGACAATACACGCAGACAAATGCAATTACAATTAAAAGCTCGCAGAGATATTATGGAACATCTTTCTGTATTCCTCACTTTAAATTTCTCTTTTAAAGTGTTCTGATGGAAGTCAGTAAAAGTTGTGCAACTTAACTTCATCATCAAGGCTGTCTACAGTCAGCAAGGATCAAAACGCTAACAGACTAAAATAAGTTTTCTGCTTGAATCCTGCACACGGACAATCTGCAAACCTTGAAGTTCTTTAATGGTCTTTTCGATATTCTTCGGCAAGTTCAGCGCGTGTGGAAAGTGTTGAGGGCTGATGTCAGTATGGATTTGTATGTCTGAAATTATGAACAGTCGCTGCAGCAAGTGCACAGCTGCTGTTATCCCAGGGGGGGGAAACACATATCAGTCAGCCACCACCTGTGCTGCTTAGAGCCACACTTTGGCCCGATCCCTCCCTTTCCCGTCCTTTCTTCGTTCTGCATAGCATCGTGTGTTAAAACTGTTTATCCTTCTATATGCTTCATAGCTGATAATTAGCTGACACATAAACAAAGTAGGTGGGAAGTGCACGAACTTCCTTCTTTGTACTTTTAAAAATACTCTCAGAAATAAAGGCTGGAAGGTCCTGGATTCATTTAGGACGTGGGTGGGGGGCAAAAAAAGAAGGCAGGCTGCTGATCTTATGATTGAACAATAATTAATTGTAAAGTGTAAAAGATGGACAAAGCTACGATGTGATGAGTCAACAGACGTAGACCAAAAAAAGGATGTCTTGTTTTTTGTTTTTGTCAGTGATTTGTCAAAAAATAAATTCAGATTCTTTTTTCTCTAATGAGAAATATAACTGACAAGATGAACGTCACATTGTATCCAGAGAGATTTAAAACGATCACCTGAACGAATAAACTCATCAAGAAAGTGCTGCTGAGGTCAGCCAAAGTTTTCTTATAGAATTTAATTTGACTTGATTTCTTTTTCCAACCACAAGAGAAGAAACAGAATGTAGATTTATGGCACCTGGATGCCGGCTTTGCTTTTCAGACCTAGAAGTGATGTCCACACTAGACACAAAATAATCTCTAAGAGATACGAGTTAATAAAGTTTCCATTGGGAACTGCAGCGGCGTGTCAGCTGTGGTGATAAAGACAGAGCTCAGCATTAGAACATTTCAGTCCTCTGTTTTATATTTTACCTGCTTTTTCTCAGAGTTGATGGAAATGACTCATAAGAATGTAGGACAAGGGCACATGCTCACCTACCTCCAGGATCTATGATGTGGGCTTACAGCATTATTATTTTGAAGAGGATAACCTAAAGCATGGACAAGAGCTGCAGTCATGCACATGAACAAATGCAATTGATCAAATTCATACAAAACCAACCCAGAATCTCAAAGTGAATCCCCAAACACTGCTGTCTCAAGAGACACTTTAAGATGACTGTTAGACTCGGGGGTTTTTTGGGCTCCATAGTCCACAACAACAACTTCACTACTGCCCTAATTGGAAGCATTCGAACCTTCAATGCCCTAAAAACTAGATAAAAGATGAACGAGACTTCAGAGCTCTAAAGAAAAGCAACATAATAATAATAATTCTTCCTCCTCACACTGCTGTGGCACTCACAGTCACCAAACCACAACCCAAATGAGTACTTGTGAGAGATTTGAATGTTGCACCACTATAACTACCATTGTTCAGTCAAGGAAATAAACATCTTCTGGCTTAGTTCATAAAACTGTGTTCAGTTTTACATAATGTCACGATCAGCTGTGTGGCAGGACTCGAACACGAAAAGGTGAAGTCAAAGCGGCCGCTTTATTGGCTGGAAAACTAACATCAAATACAAAACTAAACTGGGAACAAGAAACTCTAGAAAACAAACCAGGAACTGAGAACTAGAAGTTGGAACACGGAGGGGAAACAGCATAGTGAGGGTGCGACGCGACAAAGGGCAGCGGAGAACACAGCGCTTAAATACACAAGAATGGGAAACACAGCTGTGACTGATCCAACATAATGAGATGAGAGGAAAGCAAAACACTGATCACAGGACGTGAGACTACCAAAGTAAAACAGGAAACACAAGTCAAGCACGGAGATGCAGACTTGACCAGGAGGCACGGCTGACAGGGAACCCACAGGAGAAGCACGAGCACAAAGGCTGTGTCCCAATTCAGGGTCTGCAGCCTCAACGGTCCTCAAGCGCCGCGTACTCAAAGACCGCTAAGGCCGGAAGTGCGAGGCTTGTGAAATGGGACGGTCTAGCCTCCGTCGCGCTGCCCAGGTTGCCTAGCAACCATGATACTAACAGCTGGAAACGTGTCATACAGCTTCGTTTGACAGAGATGAAGGAGAAAATCTTTTGTTCATGTGTTTGTTTCTACACGAGCTTTGATCATTCTCTGTAAGATTAAGCTCAGCTATTGGACGGCGTATATTTTAAAGTAAAGGCTTTAAAACCAAGTTAGTACAAACGTCACTAATGTCACATGACTTTGCTGACATGTGGCCAACAGGAATGTTTAATGTTCTTCGTTATTAAACATTTGCAAATAAATAAGTGACATCATATTCAGTACTTACTTAAAGTTTACTCTTCGGGCGCCCCTCACCCGCCGTTTTTTTTCTGCAAAATTATCCACACCCACCGCCGCGCTATGCATTCTGGGATATGTTGGGCCACGAAGTCTACACCGCCACGTCCTTAAAATTCAGGGAAATGAAGGACGCATTTGAGGGCCGCATTTCGAGCAGCCTTCGAATTGGGACAGCCTTCGTCGCGTCGCTGTGACGTAATCGGCCTTAAAATGCGGCCTTTAAGGCTGCAGACCCTGAGTTGGGACACAGCCAGAGAGTTTGAGACAAGAAAGGTGTAGCACAGGAGAGGCAAAGAAACTCAAACACAACCAGACACTAACAGAAACAAACAATATTAATAAGCAAAAACCAAACACTGAGTCACAGGACTCGTGACAGGTCATTTATTACCAGGAAGGTTTCCTGTAATTTTTCACCAATCTGAGTAGAGGGAGCAACAAGTCCTGCTGGGTCTGTACAGAGGAAGACCTCGAGGTGTTTACAGCCACCCGAATGTTCACATAGTCATTCATGTACAAATCAGAGTGTGACGAAACATATCGATCTGCGGGGGTTTGTGTGAAGAATGACCTCAGTATTTCTGACGTTTATTGCCTTATAACGTTATTTTGAGCACTGAGTTAAATGACAGATTTTCTAAGTAAACACAATTTGCCTGTTTTAGAGCTCTCAGCTCTGGCAGACAGGTGAAATGTGTTGGCATGCATATTGTGACACATTTCAGCATGAAGTGCACCAGTTTCAGTATGTTCTCGTGTCTCTGGAGAAATTTTAAAGTATGATGCAACAAAATGTAATGAATCTGATGCAACTTAAATGGTGGCAATTTCCATGGCTTCAGTTGTCAGGAATGCCTTTGCACCTGCTTACTTTGTGTTTGTTGCACACACACACGTTTAGTTGTGCTTTGCAAAGGAGCTCACTGTTTATGTAGAGAAGATGGACGTAACTTTGAACCCCGTCCAATTTTTTCTTTGTCTTCCGCAGCGACGCACTCACAAATCAGGCTTCTGCGCAGTCTGAAGAAAGACAACTACCAACTCCCGCTGCTCATCACGGACTCAGGGGTACCCCCTTTGTCCAATAATACAGAGGTCAAGGTTCAGGTTTGCATCTGTAATAAGAACCGGATGCACTGCAGCTCGGCCCACTCCCATCGTGCCAGCTTTCTTGTGCCGCTCGCAACACTCCTGCTCACCTTACTCTGTAAGTACATCGCAACCAACTCCCACAACAACAGAAAACTCTGGTTTTTTGTGTGTTTTTTATTTTCTCCTCAGTTCAAAAGTGAATTCCTGCCGATTCCAGTACAGACTCGGGTACAAAATCAATGCAGACAAACATGGAGCATCATTTTATTTAGGATCAAAGCAGTTTTTGCACTTATGTTCACGTGTAAAGAAAAAGGATTTGAATTCTTTGCCTGGGAAGAATACATCATTTAATTCAAGATGCACAAGTGTGTCTTGTACATTTTATGTTTCTATATTTCCTGCCTACAAGCCTAAGGCGCTCCCAAGGAAGTCAAACTTGAATTTACTCTAAATATCTCATTTAAGCCAAGTGATGGTATGAATAATTCAGCCTTCTCCATTTCCAGCACGTTTGTAATGGAGGACATCCAACAGCTAGTTTGGTGAGAAGAAAACTCATTTGCATCTTTAAGGCCCCAGATCCCGTTCTCGCTCTGTCTGGGCTTGTTCTCTGTAGTTTATAGGCGAGCTCGCTGTATGCCGGCGGCTGTCTACAGCAGGAGGGATGGTGACGGAGTAAAGCGAGAGAAGGAGATGATGAGGAATGAGAGGGTAAAAAAAAATAATGTGATGGATGGGAGGAACAGAGAAGGAATTTCATTTCAGCGCTGAAAGATGGGTAGCTGTAATTATTCCATCTTTGTTCTGCTAATTTGTGTTTGACTGTAAAATGTTTTACTTCTGATCGTGCGACAAATCACAGCCATCCTTCCCTTTGTCCTCCCAGCTCTCTTCCCTGTCTTCTTCTACTGATCTTAACATCTTTCCTCCCTTTTTCTCATCTCCTGTCAGTCCTGTCAAACTCTCTTCCTTCAGCCTCCTCTGCCACAGTTTTTTTGTACCACTTGTCTTGTGCTTCTCTGTTTAGCCGCATTTTCCCCATAATCCTTTGCTTTTGGGCAGCATCTCTGCTGTTCTTTTTCTAGCTTCTAGTATGACTCAGCGATCTTCCTATGGCTATAGATCAATCTGTCTATGGATGCATATCTTTTCTCTGAATACTCACTCCTAACAGATAACTGTTACGTGTTACAGAAAGCATTGTTTGAAGTGGCGCCTGCGCCCACTCTTCATCTTCTTCTGATTCAGCTACGTGCACTCAGTTACCTGCAACTTCTTCAACTCGTGATTCACAGGACACAAAGTATTAAATTAAAATGACGGCGTGTAGCAAGCAGCGGCATAAGCACACCGCACGACAGCGTTGATAGGCCATTAGTCGCGGTTTCGCTGCGACACACTAATCACAAGCTGATGCTGCATCAGCGTTCAAGGACAAACAGCCACCTCTCGGAAAGTTTTATGGCAGTGATCCTGAGACTATCCCAGCTGGAGCAGTCAGGTAGCTTTTCACAGACTCCTTTTCAGACGCAGCTTCCTATACGGGGTTTCCATGGTAGCGCAAACATGTGTCTGAACTCGAAAGCCTTCTAATTGGTTGACATGCCAAAGATGATGTTAAGAGAGTCTTTGCCACAGATGTCCTTTTTGCACTGAACGACAGTAGCCTTCATTACTCTACTGTAACTAGTGCAGTGATAGACAGTGGCATTCATTAACCAAATAGCTTCTCCAGAACACGGATTCTTGGATGCTTGTTCCGGAGGCTGTGCGCATCCGTTCGTTTGGCCCGGAGTACGTTTGTGTAGTCAGAACACACGTTGCAGACGGTGGAGTTACCCCGAAGCTGGAGGTTGAAGATTACAGACAGAGAGGAAACAAGAAAAGTGTGTGTGTGTGTGTGTGTGTCTGTATCTCTACTGGGAATCTGAGACAGTATTACAGCTCAGCAGCAGAGGTTCACCAATTCAGACACAGAACATCTCCACAGACACACACACACTGCGGGAGCTCAGAGAGATGACTTCTGCTCAAGCTCATCACACAGACCTGTGCTGGGGGACAGATAGAGGGGGCTGATCGCTGCAGTGTGTAGTCAGATAGTCTGACAGAGAGGCAGAGAGTATCCTGTTCCAATTCCCTTATCTCCAAACTGAACTCTGACCCCGAAAGAGAGAGATGAGGGGAAGAAAAATGAAAAGAGCCAGAGGGGGAAGGATGGGGAAAGGAGAAGAAAGCAGTGTGCAGATTAAACTCTTTGTTTTTTGCTCGCTGGGCTACAGCCATGCAGAATGCATGGCCAGCACAGCAGCTATCTTAATTCTTCTTTCCTTGTATCTGTAGCTCTCCTCACTCATCCTCCTTCTCTCTTAATCCCCAACCATGTCTACTAAATATTTAATCTTTAAAATAATTGGCATCCACAAATCATTTCTTCAGGTAAAGCACGTGCGGTTATGTCAGTGAACATAACAGGGAAGTGTCTATATTAAATATGTCTGCAGTCTGTTTACTGCCTGGAAAATGTTTATGCTGGGGGAATTGGCAGACATGTTTCTTTTTTTCCCCCCATTATCTACATTTGCGGACTTTATTTATGGCTATGTTTAGAAAGACGGAGGTCTTCGTTAAACATTGAAAAGGCAAGCCGAGGCAGGAGACACAGAATAATTAAAATGCTTCCCTTAACTGGGCATTCTTGATTTTCAAGCCAGTGTTTTCTGTAGAGCGGCCCAATCAGATGTCGCCATTATGTCAAAGCCTCTTGCACACACACAAGTTGTCCTTCAGCGCTACGATACACCATCTTCTACCTTTCCAGCCTCTTAATGTCTCTATAAAACAAGATTTTTGTCTTCCTGTTTCTGAGGCATAAAGCAGGACTGCTAAAGGACACCTTGTGCTCATCATCTATTTAATTTTTTAAGACTCTATATTTGTCAAAATAATAAATATGTGAGACCGTCTCCTCAGCATGTGTAGAGGAGACTATTATTAGACTTTTATTAAAGGCTTATAGTCGTGTTTTAAGGCTGAGTAACCTCTAACAGCCATGCCAACACAGAAAATGAACATTGGTGTCTCCACCTTTAGATGGAACTCATTAAATTTGTTAGGAAGCTTCTAGGAAATGCAGCTTCCTAACAAATGTTTAACTATGTAAACTATGATTAAGAGAAGTGTACCTGTGTGCTATCTTTACTGCATCCAATGGCAACACTACTGGACAGTTTCCCTAAAGAAATGCAATGCAAATAACTAGCAGGCAGCAGAAAACTTGTTTCATTCCTGTGATGAGGAGTCAACTTTCCATGTCACACTAATCAGGCTATTGCAAAAATATGCGCAGATGTCATTCTGCACAGTGAAGCTCAAATATAAGTGAAATTATGAAAATAAAAAATAAATGTATAAGACAAGTAACATTGAACGCAACTATATTCATCCATTAGCTCAGTCTTCTTATGACTTTTTTTACACTAAACATATACTAATAAATGTGTCAGAAGAAGCAGCAGAAGGAGAAAAAGAGAGAAGCAAGAAGTTGTGTTTGGACTGAGGGTAATTTATCAATCTGGTGTTTGAGTGGAGCTCAAGGAGAAAAAGGAGAAAATGACTGTGATCTTCACCAGTGCTTCAGTTCAGTTTTCTCTGTAAAACATTCAGTAGGTAGAAACAGTATCAATGGAGAAGACGGAGAAAAGAAAGCTGCATCATCTGACCGCCTCTATGGCAGATTTCCCTTTGTGCTTTACATTAACTGGACCAAAAGAGTTGTGAAGCATGTACTCAATATAGCAAAGAACTGGACTCCAGTCTCACCGTATCCCACCTGCATCCATCCATCCCCTCCACCATGTCCTAGCTTGCTTTCCGCGTCAGCTCTCAGCCAAATAATGCATCACTGGGCTTGGTTTTCACACCAATACATAATATATGTAACCCCGCCGGACGAATACAGAGTACAAGTGTGTGTCTGTATTTGCAGTGTGCCAACATATACTGTGTCTTCTAATGCTCAACAACCCTTTGTTTGCACTTGCAGGATTGGTAGATAAATCCCAGGGCTTTGCGGGGGCCTACTTCCACTCCCTCCCACTGTAAAGCTTTCTTTGTAGTTCCCTGTGCCACAGACTCGCACAAAAATCACTTCGTATACACAAATTCGCAAAGATTACCATGAAAGTAGGACACAATTACAGTATTATACTATAGTCCTGTAGGAGAGAATACATGCAGATATATTATGGCAAACGCACGTACAAATGCACGTTTAGATGGAGGGTGCTAAATCTCTATTCTTCACAAGACAGAGAATTTCCTAAACGGGCACACGAAGTGATGTCAGTCAGGTTTTGTCCCCACAGGCTACAGATGCACTCAAAAACTAAAGTGACTCATAAGCACGAGTCCTAATTTTAGAATTACAAGGAGTATTTCTTTGCTTAATACAACTCACAGGTGGAATACTGTTATAGATGACCACACTGCCCCCTATCAGTCTATATGTGAACTTGCGTGCCCTGCACAGAACATGCAGTATCTCCCTGCAGCAGCCTCACTGTTGCAAAAAAAAGTTCAAAGTTGATGATGTGAGGCTGGAAGCAGTAAGTTGGCCAATATGGACAGTGTATAAATCAAGTGTATTTTAGTGGTGGTAGTGTGGACTTTGCTGGATTTTGAAGATTGATATGTTGTGGCCCAGAGTGACTTACTTTGCTTATTTGGCTTATGTGAAATGATTTGATAAACTGAAAACTAGTGGAAGGAGCGCCAAAGTTCTTTTTTTGCTTTCTCAATCCCGCATTTCATCGTACCTGCTCTGAGTCAACCTAGGAAGGTCTTCCAGCTCAAACTGCATGCTAAACTCTTTTCCTCCCAGGATTACAAGCTTCAGCTGCATTAATGCACTGCAGAGAACTGCAGATTTTGTTTCTCTGTGTTTTCAGCAAGTGTAATGATGTAATTCCAAGGGTATAGGCGAGAGAGAGAGAGACAGTGAGAGGGTGGAGTAAAAACAAGGCATTTATCATTAAACACAACAAACAACTCCCAGCCCAGATGCCACTAATTTACCTCCATCCTTCTGGGGTTTTAGACCACACTATTCCTCCTTTCTGATCCCTCGCTTTGCTCTGACAGCCACTTTTCGTCTTCCTTCTCTAGCTCTGCACTAATCCCCTCCCAGCTACTGAGACAGGATGTTTAGGGGCTTATTTACTCTTGTATAAATATGACTTTTTCATAGCTTTCCTTAAAGAGGCCGCACACCAGAAAGATGCGTATGGCTGAAGGGTCGGGTCTTCCTTCACTGAATCACGCTGTGAAGATCTTTGAACCAAGATATGAAAAGATACATTAGTGCCATGTTTCTTAAGACAACAGGCTTGAACCACTTGAGCTCTGACTGTACTGTAATGAGTGCTCTGATACCATCAGAGTGTATTCATATATAATGACAAGTAACTTATACTACTAGAAAACACAGAGTAACATGGAAGCTGTACATGTTGACATTTTTGGGACACCAAAAACGTTGCTG